GTCCCCCCCCCCCCCCGCCAAGGGTGGAAAGTTGAACGTGTAGTTTCGGACAAAGTGCTGACCGAGATCTGGAGACTAAAGATTGGATCTGTGCTGCCGCACGATGTGCATGTTGACTACCCAGATGTCCTTCAGGCGGCCTTTTGGTCCTGTCGGCGGTAACGATGCCCGCGATGCCCTGAGAACCGGATCCAAACCCAACCACGACGGGTACGCTCGCCTCGCGTTGTCGATGCCAGCACGCAAAATGCGCGCACGTCTGTCACGTTGATTGGAAACGTGTACTCCCTACAATTGTACGTTGTAACCTTCAAACCCTGAGCATCGGCTCCTGTTGTTGGAAGTGGGTGATTCCTCGAAGATACACGGCCACCCGCGATGTGCGGGACATCAAAAGCAACGCTTGGACGCTGGGAAACTACAGTAGAGCTCAATCGTCTAAAACAAGAGAGCAGAGCGCCGTGGACGTACGGTAGGGGTAACGATAAGTTGGACCCCGTGAATGCGGGTGTGTGTCAACCATATGCCAAAGAATGAAACGCACGGCATCCCTTACCCCCATCCTCCAGCTCTCTTTGTTGGCTTGCTCAACGTTGTGACTTCGAGGCACGCTCAACCACATGTTCTCTAGGACACCTCGTTTTCCACCCACGAAGGAGAGTACTGCTCCTAGCCGCCCCTAAAAGAGGACACAGGCTACCCTCGTCAGATCAAGGAGACCCAAGTTGAGGCAGTGGATTGGGTCGCAATCTTCCGTGAAAATGTGGTCTCCCACACTTTCTACAGTTTGCTAGTCCGCCCATGGGACACCCATGGGCCGGCCATGAGCACTTTGGTGCCCATGGGGCACCGATGGGCATGCCCGTGGGCAGCCCATGGATAATCGGGCATGGGTAGCCCGTGGGGAGCCCATGGGCGGCTAATTGGTGCCGTTAACCGGAACCATTGTACTCAACAGTAGATTATCTGCTTCGGAAAGGGCACTATTGCGGCGAATATCCTTCACGCTAACTCTAACCCTAACCCCGAGCCCACACGATGCGTGCTAGGATGGCTGGTGGCTAAGTTCTAGGTCGATGTGCCGGTGGCTAAGTTCTAGGTTGAAGTGCCCACGGGCAGTATAGCAAAACTGCCAGTTGTGTGGGAGATTGTGAGACTGGGGGTGGAAAACGTCGTGAGAGAGGGGATATTTGTCATTAGAGATACGCCTGGGTAGACGCAAGGCCCCGCACCACCCAGTGCTCCACTGCTATTGTATGACATGTAGTTCACACATTTTTCCTACTACCCAGGAGTAAAAGGAAGATTCCCATCCATCCATCAAATGATGTAATTACGTAGTAGAGGGGAAGATACGTGTGAACTGAGACAAAGAGAAGAACGTGGGAGGGACTGCCTAGAAACTGAAAATAAATCAGAGGTGAGCCCCTTCGGAGGGGTGCCCCCCTTTTGTACGTGAGTCCACAAGCAACGGATGCGCCCCTACAACAAGGTGAGCCCTGATTGATGTACTTCCCTTGCTTGTCGCGTGTGCTGGAAATCCGACATGAAAAGTCGTACGAGACACAAATCAACAAAAACCAAGGGCACACCGTGTACACAAACCAACAGAAACAAATGTAATACGTTGTAGCTTTCCCTCGCGGTTGGTAGTGATCGGCGCTGTACCCCGGCTAGATCGAGTTCGATCCCGGTTTCTTCCGTTTGCCGCTCCCTCCCCTCTTCCGAGGGACGGGCGGCTGCACCATTTCCAACAACGCCACACCGGCGGGCGGCGTCACCCTTGCGCCACCCGTCACGTCCATATTGCTCAACGAACGAAGCGGGGCCGACCCGTTCATGGCTGTCGTCGGGAAGCTGGCAGGGGCGGCACCGATGGTGGCCGCAGTTGCAGGGGGCTCCCCGGCGGATGCTGGCATGCTCGTCGGTACACCACCTGAGCCTGCAACCGATCCTGCAACCGATCCTGCTCCCCCCCTGCCCCCCCGTCCACCACAGTCACCTCTTCCCCGCCCCCCTCTACCCCTCGCCCCCCTGCCCCTAGTCGTGGACCCCGTGCCGCAACCGCCCCGAGCGCCCCGTGCCCGCGTCGTGCCCGTCGTGGACATGCCGGAGGTGGGGTGAGAGAAAGTTCCCGTGAAGACCTGGGTCGTCGAAGCTTGTCGTTGCGATCTCTTCTCCACCTCGAGTTGTTGCTTGAAGAAGATCTTGGTGCTCTCCAGGACGCGATCGATGCCCTCCAAAGTGGTGATTTGTCGGAGAAGAACACCCATGTCCTTCCCGAAGTTCGTGCCGTTCGCGTACGCGGCTGCTTTCACGTTCGTGCCAGAGTGGGAGATGTCGTCCGTGGTGACGTTGAAGGGTGGCAGCTCCACAGGACACTCCGCCGCGCCGGGGTCCAGCATGGCAGGTTTCGCGGCCAGTGGCTCCAATGTCCATGGCGTCGAGCTCTCACGCCACCTGGGCGCAATGGACGCTCCGTTGAACTTGTTGGCGCCGGTGTCGAACATGGCCTTCAAGCCATGCGGGCAGAGCAGGCCGTAGACAAGCGGCCTCAGACACGTGCAGAGGAAGCAGCCATCCGGCCCAAGAGCGACAAGGTGACAGAACTCCTCTCGCTGCAACAGGGCGACGCGAACCAGTTTGTCGACGGCCTGGTCACGAAGTAAACCCGCAAAGTGAGAAACTGGCGCACGGCTCGCCAAGTGCACACCAGCGGGGGCGACCGCCGTCGGTTCTGCCGGGTCGATGAACTCTCCGCTGTTGGTGTCGAGCATGAGGTTCACCTTCGTCGGATCATCAACGAACATTTGGAGGATGCGTCGTACGTCCGTCTCGCCACTCGCGACGATCTTGGTGCTGTACCCCAGACATGCGTCTATCATCACCCCGGTATCCTGCAATTTAGAGGGAAACCATGGGTACGGGCGGTAGGCAAGAGGGGGGCGGGGAGGAAATCAATCTCTGGCAATTCAAAGGGCTACGCCTGATCATCGTCATCACTCGACAAGGTACGCTTGACATGTTGCTGTAGGTTGGGGCTGCGGGCACATAAAAGTTGGGTTTGAAGCGTGAGGAGGAAGGGTTCAATGAAAAACACATTGGCCAGATACGGACAGCATATACTGCCTCGGGTAGAAGCGACAACGGTTCATCCACTCATACAACTCACACCACCACAACTAACCTCCTTCGCGTGAGTGCTGCATCGCTCGTGGGTCAGTGCCGCCGTTATGAAGGCGAAATACCCACGGAGGTTCTGCTTCACGTTCTCAGCCGGCGACATGTTCCTCGATAGCGACACGCGTTTTGTGTTCCCCACCTCACTTCGCCTGGAACGCGCGCGGAGTACCGAGCCATGGACAACAACAGCGGTGGCACGCAACACGTCAAGCAAACACGTTAAAAGTGAGCCATGACGCCACAGTCCTTTCGTGCCTATTCCTGTGGTTCTCGATGTTCTGTCAACCGTTGCAAGAGAGCTGAGGTATTCGTCTGGGCAATGTGAGGCCAGTGGTGGCAACTCAGTGAGCACGTCGTCCGGCGACGTCATCAGCCCGGCCAAGATCTCTTCATATGCACAGAAATACTCCGGGACAAGCACTTCAACTCAAACGCTACAAAAGTTCGTTTCGACCGGGTGCGACGTCCTCGTTGCCGCACATGCCCTCTCAAGACAAAGGTGCAGCACCGTCACTTGCCATGGGCTGTGACCGACACAAAGGGGCGGCCAGGACACACACATGAGACGGCATGCCTACCTTTGAGTCCTGATGGCGTCATCCTGAACCTTGCCTAAAAGCGCGCGCTCGAGGTCGGCCAAGTCTCCCGTCCTGGTCACCAGCTTCTTGACGGCGCAGTTCGTCCCTTCCACTCGCTGCGTCGAGGCAATGCCGAGAGTGTGGAGCCCCGGGTGGACAAACGACGCCCATTTGCCAGCCCGCCTGTTACACATCACGGCATGGTTCAAGGTAACAAGGTACACAAGGAGGAAAGCGTCACGAACGCGGCGTACTAAACAGGAAATGTTGTAGACGCAGACCAACAGTGCGGGGTCTGAATCCAAAGCCTACCCACGGCTACCATATGCAGTGGTGCTTACCCTGGGTTGAAGATCTCTCCCAACATGTACTTGTATACCCCGCTCTCAGGGTCCAACATGGAGAGGAGCTCCGTTTTAATCTCAACGAAAGCCTGCGAGAGCGACATTCCGCGGAGCGTGTGAGGGAATGAAATAAAAAGAGGCGGGAGAAAGAAAGCACACATAAAAAAAACAAGGCATGCCATTTGGTGCAACCACGTGCTGCAGGAACGCTTGCATTTCACAAGTCTCCGGAGCTCTGGCCAAACACCCTCTACCTGGGACGCCGGCATTCCGGTGGATTTCACGCACGTGGACCAAACATTTTCCGTGGGCAACACGATTTGTCTCACCTCCAACGTTGGTGCGTATGCCGCTGCCTTGAACTTGCGCAGAATCCCCTGCAGGATACCCCCCGGCAGCCCCTTCCCATGCGCCTTGACGTTCTGCTCCTTGTGCCAGTAGCACAGCTTGTTCAGCGCCCCCGGAAAGACTTGCGCGATGGCCGACATCTCTGACTGATCTGTGTCCGTGAAGATCACCTACTTTGCCACGGGAGTTGCCACGCACGAGCAGAGACACGGACATTCAGGAAATGCACGATTACGTCCAGTAGTTCTCGATTGATCGAACGGGGGGTATTTATCTATTTATCGGGGACATGTTGCCAGCCTGCCCTCTACTGCTCGGTACTGCTCCACAGCTTAAGACCGTCGCTTCACCTTTGGGCTGCTTCCGCGGATGAGCTCCTTGAAGGACTCCATCAAGAACACGAAGGATTCGTGCCTTTCGGTGTCCAACAGGGCCTGCATCGCAATCTGCGTGTGATTCTCCTTGTCCACCACCACTATGAATGCCAGCTTGTGGTTGTACCTGGTAGGGGCATGACGTGACGCAATAAGCACAACAGTTGGGCATGGCGCGCCGGTGACAACGTTGTCAACGCACAGCTACCAGCTACCCAACGGCAGGGCACTGCTCGAACCATATCGTGTGCCAAGGGGGCTAAGAAAACAGCACGTCCGACACTCTACTCACTTGCTGGTGTTGAATGTGGTGTCTGAGACGACGACCGGAAAGTATTTCTCCGTGTTGCGCCGCTGCTCCTCGTGTGCCCAAGCAAGGCACGTCAAGCGGTTCTCGTCGTCCAGCTTGTACCTCTTGAAAGCGCCGTCCTGCTCGAGCTGGTGGAGCAACTGCTGGGCGTCGTTCAAACCTCCGCGGCTGCTCGTCTTGTCTTTGTCGAACTGCACCCTCATTAGACGTACCTACCGCCCAAGACGCATCATCAGAGAGGGTGTGATTGACTTCACGACACGCTTTTTATCAACCGAAGGTACGCAAGCCAGACGACAACTTTCTCGGGTGACGACGGGTGACCAAAATGGTTACGAAACTACGTGTGGGATGCGCTCGAAGCCATGCCGCCCGAGTGTATATGGTGATACCCCAAGGCGTTCTGTGCTACCCCTTCCTCGCTCACCATCTGCCTTCCTTTCTCTCCCAGCCTCTTTCCCGTATTTGTCAGATATTTGTAGACCTCCGTCGTTTTGACGCCCTTGTCGCACATCTTCTTGATGTGGGCGGATTCGGCTTCAAGATCCTCACGGGTGATCTCGTTCTCGAAAACGCGAGGGGGGTCGTGCTCGGTTCCCTCTGAACCCGGGTACATGTGCCGCAGGCAAACGTTCTGTTTAGTTGGAATTGACGCGCGGACGGGGGGCACGAGTGTGTTTTCGGACAAGCGAAAAGAATATCAAAAGCAGGCATAGCGATTTATGGCACGAACAAGGCCCGATGCTGTCGCTGCCGTCGTCATACGCGCTGAGGAAGCTTCCGTTGCAATCGGCTCNGCGGACGGGGGGCACGAGTGTGTTTTCGGACAAGCGAAAAGAATATCAACAACAGGCATAGCGATTTATGGCACGAACAAGGCCCGATGCTGTCGCTGCCGTCGTCATACGCGCTGAGGAAGCTTCCGTTGCAATCGGCTCTGGATCACGCCAAAAACACGGTACAAGTTG